CTGGCCTCCCAGGCTCGCCCATTGCCACCACGTTGTCTTACTGACAGCCAAAAGCTCTTATTCTGCTGGTGACCTGTGACAGCTTGGTGATCCCACTCCCCATTCAGTGGGTACCCGCACAAAGCAAAGGGCAGAGGTCTGCATGCTATTTAGCATCTGTCTCCCGCTCTTCTCCCTCACACCAGCAGCCCTGGCTTCTTCCCTGGGCTGCTCATCAATGGGTCCCATGCTAGATGGAGCTTTCTCTGTTGATCCTGAGCCATACTGGTTCCCCTGAGACCCTCAGTCTTATTCTAGAATTTAACCCACTACTAAGGTGCAGTCTGGAGGGCTGACCCTGCATCCTGGCCATGAAGAGAAGCCAAGTGAAGGTCTCAGATGATTTCCATGTGCTAACTTGTCCCCACCTGAGGGCTCCCACCCTGATAGACGGGGACCATCTTCTCAGCCCTCAGCATCTAAGGGTGACCCTGCACACAACACAGATTCCTAGGTCTCTTGGCTGGCAAGTGGATGTGGATGTATCTGTGAATGATGAGTGAATATTCACAACGCACTAAGCACGCTACAAAGTCCTTTGCAAAAATTTTCATTTTAACCTTCATGAGAAGACTTTCAGGAGGGCTTTAGAATCTCTGTTTGAGATCCAGGAGGCAAAGTAACTTTTCCCAGTGCCTCGGCTAGGAGGAGGAGGAAGATAGAAGATAAACAGACCAGCCTCAGCTGGGCAGCAGGCCCTGGCCTCATCCGGAGGCTTTCTCTGCTCATCACAGGACAGGAGCCACATCACTGAGGGACGCAGGGTGACCAAGCCATTTACCAAGTGGAGACCCTTTGTGCTGGAGTGAAATGATCCTTTAAAAAATGATCACCGGCTCCCCTTCATTACCTCGAGAGACCGAGTCCTGCCTGAGTTCTTCCCATCTTTATCTCAAGTACATTTAAATGTCAATTAAATTTGAAATATCTACATTTGTCAGCATTTCATTTTGGGCCAGCGTGACGTGCTGCTGATTTGTCCACACGATGTGACACATGAAAAAAACTCTGGAGATGCAGATCTTCCTCATTAAAAAATAAGCCGGCGCGGTCCTGGCACAGCGGAGAGCACAGAGCACATCCCCGCTTCCTGACGCCGTATCTCTGACATGGTATTTAAAAAGGAACAGCCTCGCCTGTCACCACTGTCACATGCGTGCGCTAACCGGCGACACGTTAAACCAAACATTAGAAAGGGCTCGGGAGTCATCTGCACGGGAACTCTGCGCCGAGCACGGCACGCAGAGGGGGCAGCCCAGGGACGGTGGGGTCCGAGCGGTGATGGACAGCGAGCCTTTCTCTCACACCGAGACAACGGCAGCCCTCGCTGGGTAGCCAGGTCCGCAGCGCCCTGGCTTTCCACAGGCAGCCTTTGTGTGTAATAAAACCCAGGCAAGTGGTGGGTGGCAGACTGCAGGGGAGTCGCTGAATTGGGTTAATGAGGGAAGAGGTACATTTTTCCCCCATATTCTGCCTTAAGCTAATAAAAAATTTAAACCTGGACGTTTTCGATGGTTCATCCTTTATCTCTGACAAATATCTGACTGTATGTTTCATGGGAGAACAATGAGCAGCTGAATTTAAATAAGTTTATTTAAAATCTCAGCTTTCATTAAAAGTGGAAAGGGAAACACCCTACCTCTCATTTCATTGTTTCAGATCCAGAGAACTGAAAAAGCAGGATCTCACGGTGGTTTAGAGTCAGGCAAATCTAGATTCAGTTCCGCACTCTACTTTCGGCTGCTGTGTGACCCCAGACAAGGAACAGCCCCTGTCTGAGCCTGGGCTTCTTTGTCTGTCATGAGGAATTAGTGAGAAATTGTGTGGGCAGCATTTGGCCCAGTGCTTGGAAGTTCTAGTTCATCACCCATGTGGCATGGACATGAAAAGCCTCTGGTCTGATCTGCCCAGATCATGTGGTAAGTTTTACCCCGGGCCCCATTGCTCGGGAGACACCCTTGGGCTCCTGTTGAAGCCACTGCCCAAGCAGCTGGAAGTGGAACCTGGTTTGTGGGCTGGAAAGGGAGGCCTCCCCTCCTCTCCTCCCTCATCCCTGACCACACCCTCACCCTTGCTCCGGCCCATTTTGGACTCAGCAGTCTGACTTAATGGTGACTCGGGCCTCACAGTCCAGCAAGGTCTCTTCACTCTTCTGTGAATCCAGGAGATTCCTGGCAGGCTTAGTGGCATTTAGAAAACGCACAAGCTGTGATCTGTGCTTCGTTGTCAGAGATAAAGGAGGGAGCCGCGCTTAGGCAGGCATTGGAAAAGCATCCATGGTGGATCTGAGGACTGCTAGGAGCCTCCTTCCCCTGGCCTGTGCAAGGCTAGGGTCTCCCTCGGGTCCCTCTGCTGCCGTCCCTCTGACAGGAAAGTAAGGGCTCTAGAGATGAACATCCTGGGCTGGAATTCCTGTCGGTCACTTCCAGGCTGAGTCACTGGGTCACATCTCTGACCCTCACCATGACCCCAATGTTCATCCGTTGCTGAATTTGTTCACAGTGAGAAGCGGCATAGTGTGTCTTGGTTGGGTGCACAGCTGGTGGGCGCTTGGATGGATGGACTCACAAAGGCCTCCAAACCTAGACTCTGTCTTTCCTGCTAGGCTGCTGGAAGGGCGGGGAGGCATACGCAAAACACCAGCACAGCAGCTGCTCCTGGATGTTATTTTGATCCTTTCTTCCTCAAGCTTCTGCCTGCCCTGTACCTGACCGCTGAAGTAGGGGGAGGGGGAGGCACAGGTGTAGGGAGAGGCCCAGGCAGTGCTGAAGGCCAAAGCAGCCTTCACCCCACCCAGCACACCTGGCTGCTCCACACTCTGCTCCTTCCTGCCCTCGCCTGCACAGGTGCACCCTTTTGCTGGAGAATGGCGGTGCCCCACAACACCCGTTAGGGCATCCCGCAAGTCTGAGTGTGCTCACTCCTCCCTGTCCACTCTGGATTCCCTTGCCACACAGCGGCTGCCGCAGAATCACAGAGGAGTGGCAGACTTGCAGATTTTAAGCCAGAGTGACAGGGTCAGCTTTGTGATTCAAAACAAGGTTCTGGTAGCTGTGTGGAAGTGACCCGCTTTGCTAGAAAGCAGCAGAAACCAGGCCTTGCCCTGAGGCTGGTCAGGTATGATTCTGAGTCAGATCTTCCAGCCGTGGCACTGGGGCCACAGAATCACCCATCAGGGCCCATGGGGCTCTAGTCCAGGAAGGGCTGAGCCAGCAGCCATCAAGGTGACCTAGGCACAGAGGAGGGCAGAACAGTGTGGCCCACAACCTCCTGGTGCATGACCCTCAGCCAGCTGCTTCCCTGCAAGTCCTCAACCTCCGCTTAAGGGCAAACAGCCTGGCTGTCCTGCAGGGACAGTGGGAGGGAACAGGGGCACAGGTGTGACAGCACCAAGACTTTAGTGGCTCTGGGAGCCAGTGCTAGGTAACAGCTGAGCCAGTGACCGCAGAGCCAGTGCAGCCCAGTGCCATCTCTGCTGAGGGCAGCTGCATCCCTGCCTGCTCCGAGGCTGTGTCCTCTCGCACTTGTTTGGGGCACATTGTTTCTGCCTGGCAAAAACCTCAACGGACTCCCATGATATTCCTAAAGGAGGCTGCTGCGGCTGGCAAGAGAGGAGAGGAGTGGGGCTGCCCCACACAGGCACCCGGCCTTCCCCACTATCTCCCCAAACTTCCCCATCACTTCCTGCGATTGGCAGAGCAGGGGCAGCCCACTCAGCAGGGTGAGGCATGGACACCCGTGGCCCATCCCATCGAGGCCCTGGTCTGTGTATAATTCATAGAAGCTGGGCGTGGGGCTTTTCTGGGCTGTGTATGTGTTTGTTTATAGAGGCAGAGCTCACAGGTGGCTGACAAGGGAGATGTATTTTTTATAACAATGAATATTTAATTTCCACATCACAGATGAAAAAGACTCTCTGAAGAAGCATCCAAGGGAGACTCCAGAGAGCAGCCGCTAATCAGCAAAGGGCCTTCTCGCGAGGGCTCCTCCGCGTGGCTCACTTCTTTTCTTTAACTTTTTTCTTTTTTCCTGACTATTGAAGTAGGTACGCTCACGGTAGAAAAATAAAAAGACGCAGGTGAGGGCAGTCCCTCGGAATCCCAGCAGCTATTACTGACATTTAGGCTCGTGCCCTGCCAGCCACTTTCTCCATGCACTTTTCCACACACAGATGCCAGGGAATCAGCCCCCAATGTGGCACAGGGTGCCACAGTCCACAGATGAGGCACCAGGGATGTGGCACCGGGGATGTGGCACCAGGTACCGCAGTCCACAGATCCTCAGGCCCCTGACCTGAACCGGGCGGTGTTTGCACAGATGCCGCACAATCCTCCCACAGACTTCACCTCACCTCCGCTTAGTACATGGCTTATTATACCTAAGCCAGTGTAACCCTGGAGGAATGGCGACCCGGTACGGTGTAGCAAATAATACAGTGGCTAGGGCAGGGGGAGTCGAGACAGTACTGATGCGGTTTCTTTTTCCAAATATTTGCAACTCACAACTGACTGAATTGCACAGCTGTGGATCCTACAGATGTGGGTGTGTTTCACGGGAGGGTAACATTCAGCCAATTGTGCTGGATTCCTACTGCTGAAAGTTGAAGTGACTCTATGTTTGTTTAGTTTTTTATAAGCTAAACTTTGTTTGCTTATTTGTTTAGCCATACAAGGGAGCCGCCAGGGCCTTGGCCCGCTGAGCTGCCAGGTGCATGCTTTAACCTGACAGACAGCAGGGTGAGCACCTCTGGCCTAGAGGCTCTGCTGTACTGAAGGTTTCCTGCGCAAGTGGAGGGACAAGGTGGTAGCTGACGGAGCGCAAGCATGGGGCTCCTGACAAGGACGGCAGCGGTGTCCTTCCTGCTCACCGTGTGCCCTGTGGCCTCCTTCCTGCCCTCTGCATGGAGACGTGACGGCGCCCTAACTGCCTGTTCTCTTCTTTCTTGTCTTCCTCCACCCCAGCCTGGTAAAGCCTTTGCGACACTATGCGGTCTTCCTCTCCGAAGACTCCTCTGACGATGAATGCCAGCGGGAAGAGGCCCCGAGCGCTGGCTTCACCGAAAGCTTTTTCTTCTCCGCTCCCTTTGAATGGTCTCTCCTTCCTCCTTCCAGCTCCCCGGGCTCGGCTTGGTGACTCTCAGGGCCGCGTGGGGGCGCGGGGCTGGTGCTGCTTGCTGTGGTATGCAGGGAGGGTTCCGGAGTCCAGTGCCCTGCGGGTCCCCTCCAGTGGAGTGAGGTGACAGGCTGGGGTGGGGGCATTGGTCCCCTGTCCTCCTAAGAGGGAGCGAATTTGACTGTTAATGGAGCCAGTGGCCATGAGGAACTGGCTGTTGATGCCTGAGTCCTCCTTTATCTGGCACAACATGGAAAGCCATGGAAATGGAAATCAGATTTTAAGTTTAAAAAAGAAAAAACGTGAGGGGTTTTAAATTTTTGGTTTTTTTCCTGCTGTACTAGGAATTAAACCCAGGGCCTGAGGCGTGTTAGGCAGGTACTTTACCTCTTTTTTTTTTTTTTCTTTTTTTTTGAGACAGTGTCTCACCAAATTGTCCAGTTTGATCTCAAATTTGTGATTCCTCCTGCCTCAGCCTTAGAGTAGCTGGAATTACATGTGTATACCATCATGCCCAAACAGAATATGTATATTAATTAATACAGCATATTTAAATGGTTTAATCTACCTGATTTTTTTAAACATACAACTTAAAAATTATTTTTGTAACTGTGAGCCTCATACTAATTACAAATAGCTTTTTTTTTTCTTTTGGCGGTAATAAGATTGAATGAAAACATCAATCTTTGCACTGAGCTGCATCACCAGCCCTTTTTTACTTTTGGTTTTTATTTATTTTATTCTGAGACAGGGTCTTGCCCAGGCTGCCTCAAACTTGACCTCTTCCTGCCTCGGCCTCCCAGAATGCTGAGGTTACAGTGTGTACTGTGATGCTGCCTGGCTACAACAGCAGTTCTTTCGTTTTCTTTTCAATCTTTTTGTTTTCTTTTCAGTGCTGGGGATTAAACTCGGGGCCTTCACACAGCTACATTATCGCCCTGTTTTGAAAGAGGTTCTTGTCAAACTCCCCAGGGCAGATTTGAGCTTGCAATCTTCCTGCCTCGGCCTCCCCAAACACTGGGATTATGGGTGTGTACCACCACACTGGCTCAAAAAACTTTTTAAAAAGTTAACCATTTTATAAAAAGAATGGAGTGGTTGGCTGCCCATCCCGGCTACATTATCAGTAGTGCCTCTCTCCTTGCCAGTTCTTACCCTCCACCCACAAGTTTTTCAGAGCTGGGACTGAGCACAGAGACAGCTTTGGTTTGTTTTCTCCTTGAAAAGTCACACAATGCTGGTACTGGGAGCCTCTAAGGGCAGGGCACAGCCCAGTGCACCGTGGCCTTCTGGGCGTGAGCTGGGCCACTCCACAGAGAGGGCCTTCTCCTCCGCTCCCCACCATTCCCTCCGCCATCCGTGGTTCCCAGCAGCCCTCCCTGCCGTGCCTGCCTCCTGCCACTTTCCAGGTTAGAAAAGGGCAGCCTGACTCAGGGTGACCCCAGCTTCCCAGGCTGCCTTCTCTGCATGTTAATCTTTTCAGCGTTTTCAAACTTAGCCTTGTCTGGGGCTGGGGATTTAGCTCAGCGGCATAAGAACCTGCCTTGTAAGCAGGCAGTTGTGAGTTCGATCCCCAGTACCGATAAAAATGAAAAAAGACCAAAAAAAAAAAAAAAAAAGAAACTTAGCCTTGTCCTAGGCAGCAGTCTTTATGATACCACAGGTTTATGTGTTAGCGGTTATTTCCATCACTAACTAGAACACAAACAGAAGAACTGGGATGGGAAATCTACATCCATTTGTCCACTTAAAAGCATCTTGCAGGGAAAGGCAGCCAGCTTGGATGATGCCCCATGGTGGTCTCCCTGGGGAAATGGTGGTCCCAGCAGGGCCTATGGCCCATGATGTTTTGGGTATCTTAACTGCCCATGCTCCCCTCCTCAGCCTGAGACCTCTGCTTAGCATGGTCTCATGTCTCGTGTGTGCGCGCGCAGATTTAAAAGGGAAGAGCCCACCCTACCTCAGCAGAAAAACAGTTAAAGAGAATGCTGTTTCCCTGCTTTCCTGTATTCCTTTCATTATGTTCAAACTTGATTCAAGGCTGGCTCTTCAGTTCCTTGGTCCCAGGGCTTGGGTAGAGTGAGGGAAGGGCTTGCAGCCTCTCAGGCTTAGCTTCTGTTTGTACCTCTTGCCAGATGCTGCAAGCCACTTCCTGTCGCTGAGCTTCCGTTCCCTCATATGTAAAGTGGGGTGCAGGCCCTGCTCCCTGAGCGGCTGGCATTGCTAGGGGCGCCTATGGTGCAATCTGATAGAGCCCCTCCTCTCCCAAACCACAGCGGCCTGGTTCCTTCCGTGTGAGCCTACTCATAGCCAGCAGGTGGCGCGCTCTCCACGTTACCCGGGCCAAGAGCACAACTGCTCCGACTCTGGCAGGCGCCTGCTTGGCACTGGCCTGGGGGTTCTTAAGGCCGGGTTCACCTGGGCATAGCTTCTCCAGGTAACAGCGGGGCCTAGGCACCTGTTACCTACCCCTGGCTCCCATGCAAGGTCTTGATATGGAAACATACAGATGTATCTTTGGGGTTGCGGGAGTGTTTGTTTTTTTGACAGAATCTTACTATGCAGTTCAGGCTGGCCTCAAACTCACTGGGTAGCCCAGGCTGGCCAAAACTCACAGCAATCCTCCTGCCTCAGCCTCCCAATTGCTGAGATTACAGGTGTGAGCCACCATGCCTGGCTTGTGGAAACAGAAAGCTGGCAGCACAGGGCCACCCATAGTGGTCTCACTTGCTGGTGAGTTCTGCTGCTGCCACCAGCTTCTGCCTGCAGTGCGCCAGGCCCTATGCCTCACCACCACTCCCTATGCAGCTGAGGCTCAGAGATGTTAAGTGACTTGCTGGGAGTGGGGGGAGTGACTTGCTTGAGTTCCCACAGCAAGACACAGCCCGGGCAGGGCTAGCACAGTTGGAGGCCACAGCATGCCCCCAGAGGATCCTGGGGCCGGCCAGGGGCTGGCCCCTGGAGCGTTTCCAGCTCGGCTCCCCACAAGCTGGTCACACCTGGTTCTGGCTACTTGTCAATCACCAAATGGCAGAGCAGGGTGGGGACAGGAGCAAAGCCACCCCCACCCATCACACCACCACCACTGCCACCCGGCTACTCTTCTCCTATTGCCAACAGTTATAGGAAAAGATGCCTGGTTCTAAGGGGACTGAGTGGGCCCCTCAGGGCTGGTGAAGGCCAGTGTGACTCAGCCAGGTCCCAGAGCAAGCGCTGAGTCGGCTTCTGCCTGCTCTGTCCCAGCACTTGGCTCCTGCCTTGCTCCTGCCCAGGGTCTGGCCCAGACAGGGGCCCCAGGACATGCTCCTGTCCCCAGCAGCTCTGGGTGTAGTCCCTGGGGGCTGCCTGCTCCCCTGTGGATGCCCTGGATGGGAGAATCCAGCCTGCTGTCTCCTCCCAGGCCACAACCGTATCGGACACTCAAGGAGTCAGACAGCGCAGAAGGTGATGAGGCAGACAGTCCCAAGCAACCATCAGGAGAGCCCAGGCCCCCCGTCCCCGCCCCCCCTGACCGGGCTGCCAGCATCGACCTCCTGGAGGACATCTTCAGCAGCCTGGATGTGGAGGCCCCAGTTCAGCCCCTGGGCCAGGCAAAGAGCATGGAGGACCTGCGGGCCCCCAAAGACTTGCCAGAGCAGCCAGGGACCTTTGACTATCAGGTATGGCGTGGACCGGGGAGGCATCTGCTGCCACACCTGCCACATAGGAGGCAGAGCCCCCAAGTCACAGTGCGGGAGACCGAGGAAGGCATCCCTCAGCCAATGCTTAGAGGACAGTTGACCACAGACCCCGCTGACTGGGCCAGCCCCTGACAGGGTCCTGGAGAAGATGCTAGCGCCCGGGTAGAAATCTGCTGCCTGCTTCTGTTTGTGAAGCAGAGGTAGGTGTTGACCCTGTGGACCTGGGATTGCTCCCAGCCGTACTCTGGCTCCCTGGAAGAGCCTTTGGGTCAGAACTCCTGGTAGATTCTAGATTATTCTTGTGTGGCCACCAATCTCCCACTGTGACTTCCCATCCATCCCACCCCCTCTCTGTGCCGCCCTTGAAGTCACTGGTTCACACTGTGCCATAGGGGTATAGGTGCCACAACTCATGGCTAAGAGCAGGGAGTGACTTCAGCCAGGCCGAGCAGCTTGGAAATGGCAGAGCCAGGACTCCAGTCTGGCCCTCCTCTTTCCACCACCCAGGTGCCCTCACCCAGGCACAAAGCCTGCCCTGCCCTCCCGAGTGTGACCGAAGGGGCCATGTGCTCTAAAAGTTAAAAGGACTGGAGCAGTGGAAGGTCAGGAGATAAAAAGTCTTCCTAAAACGATGTGTGATTCTCACCGGTGCAGAAGGATGAGCGTGTCCTGCCAAGCCCCACTGTGGCACAGCAGCCTGACTCGGGGCCCAGACAGAGCTGGGCTCTTAGCTGGTACCCTGGAGTGGGCACCAGTCTGTTCCAAGTGCTTGGATCTAATGGGCCACATGCTGATGAGCTCAGTCCTTGTTGCCACCCATTACCCAGGAAGGAGTCTGAGAGGCCTGTTTGCCCGCCCGTCTGACCTGTGTCGTCAGCCCATGGTCACTGCCTCCTTCCTTCCCTCCCAACAGAGGCTGGACCTGGGCAGGAGCGAGAGGAGCCTCGGCGTGATGATGGCCCTGAAGCTCGCCCACCCATACAACAAGCTTTGGAGCCTGGGCCAGGACGACATGGCTATACCCAGCAAGCCCCCCAGTACCTCCCCTGAGAAGCCCTTCACCCTGCCTGGGAACTCCCTGAGCCTGCCTTGTAGGCCCCAGACCCGCAGCAGCATCCTGAGCCCCAGTAACAGGGAGGAGGCTCCCACCCCCACTCCAGGCAGTATCACCATCCCCCGGCCACAGGGCAGGAAGACGCCAGAGCTGGGCATCGTACCTCCACCACCCACCGCCCGGCCGGCCAAGCTCCCGGCTGCTGGCAGCACTCTTGGGGACTTCTCGGTGGATCGGGAGAGGCAAACTGCTCCAAGCCCAGCCCTGTTCCCAGGGCCCCTCCCCAGGGTGGCCCCCCAAGGCCCCACGGAATTGCTGCAGCCTCTCAACCCAGCCCCAGCAGCTACAGGCACGGGCAGTGATGCCTTGCTTGCCCTTCTGGACCCACTCAACACAGCCTGGTCAGGCGACATCGGCCCCCCACACCCTACCACCCCAAATGTAGCCACCCCATTTACCCCCCAGTTCAGCCTTCCCACTGCAGGGTCCTCCACCCGCTTCCCTCAGCCACCACTCAACCCTTTTGTCCCATCTGTGCCAGTAGCACCTCCTGCCATGCCTCTGGGTGCCACACCAGCTGGGCCTTTTGGGGCCCCTCCAGCTTCCTTAGGGCCAGCTTTTGCTCCCAGCCTCCTCCTGTCCAGTTCTGGCTTCTGCGCACCTTACAGGTCTCAGACCAACCTGTCTGCCCTCTCCATGCCCAACCTCTTTGGCCAGGTACCCATGGGCACCCACACCAGTCCCTTGCAGCCACTGGGACCCCCCTTAGTCACCCCATCCAGGATCCGAACATTGCCCCTGCCTCGCTCAAGTGCCAGAGCTGCTGAGGCCAAGCAGGGGCTGGCCCTGAGGCCTGGAGATCCCCCACTCCTGCCTCCCCAGCCCCTCCAGGGCCTGGAGCCAGCACTGCAGCCCTCTGCTCCTCCGCAGGCCAGAGACCCCTTTGAGGATTTGTTACAGAAAACCAAGCAGGATGTGAGCCCGGCCCCAGCCCCCAGCTCGGTGGAGCAGCTCCGGAGGCAGTGGGAGACCTTCGAGTGAGCAGGCCGAGGGCAACCCTCTGCCCCGTGTCTGCCTAGGTCTGCTGGTGGGAAGGGATGGGGCCTGTTCTTCCACCCCTCCCCACACCGCCCTTCTCTGAGGTCACTGGGGAATGGTGCCAGTCACCACCTGGGAAGTGCCTGGACTTCTGGGCACCACCTACCCCACAGCCTCTTCGGCACCCTGCTTGGGTTTTGCACTAGAGTCAGCTGGGCCAGCAACTACCCCAGCCCTCATCCTGCCACCCACTTCCCACCCCCACCCCATGGGGGTCCTGCTCTCCTGTCCTGCAGCCAGGCTGGGTCTGCTCCCCACCGGCACAGGTGTCAGTGTGAGCCCCAGGATGCACCGTCTGCAGGAGACATGGTGGTTCAGGGATGGCATGCACTTCCGAGCTGTAGGACTGCCTGCCTGGTGGGCCCTCTCCAAACCCTCTCTAGCAATATGCCCTTTTCAGGAGTCTCTGCCCCGGCCCACAGGTTCCACTTGTCTCTGGAGGCCAGGCTGTTCCTCCAGGCTCCTCGTGGTAGCCACACCCAGCCCCAGACACTCCTGTGTGGGGCCCAGGAACACCAGCAACTCTGACTTGTAGGAGAAAATCCCCACAGCGTGAGTGTCACCTGGGACCTCCAGGCCATCCCGGTCTCTCCTGTCACTGTCAAAGATGGGGCCCAGCCTCCTGCTCTCTGGGACTTCACAGGCAGAGCTGAGCAGCAACTACCCAGATCCCAACTCCAAGGCCTAGAAGACAGAGGTGCCACTGCAGCCTGGGCACCGTGGGGCAGGACAAGGCAGGCCTGAGGCCCTCGAGGCCCCTGCGGAGGGGACACGTGGAGGCCCGAGAGCCAGCCCCTCCTCGCCCACCTGGAGCTTCTCGCCAGCACACAAATTCCTGAGGCCACAGCACCAAAGTTCAATTGGAATGTATTGTTATTGTTCCTTTTATCTTTCTTTTCCTTTTTACCTTATTGATTTGATGAATCTTGAAAACTGACTCTTTTCAATAAACCAAGTTAAAAAACAGCCCAACCATGTAAGAAAACAACCGTCTGAGACATGCAGGAAATTGTAAGCATTTTGACCCGATTTCTCATTTCCTATTTGTGAATGGTCAGACAAGCCTCCCTGGGGGTGTCTGGTGGGACAGAGGAGTCTCTCAAGGTCCTCCACACGCCAGGGGACCCTTCTGTGTCCAAGAGGCTGGGAGGACACTGCTGCTGGTGGTGAGCTGGTGAAGCCTGGCACTCTCCAGGCCACCTGTAGCCCAGGACCAGTCTGTCCCATGTCAGGTGCGTGGCGTGGGTTCCAACACCACACTGATCCCAGGCAGGCTCCAGGTCCTGGGAACAGAGGACAAGATGAGGTCCCAGGTGGCCTGCGCAAGCAGGCACAGCTCCCGGGCCCCCGGCTGTGCTGGCAGCTAGGGGCCAGTACCGTGGGTTCACACAAGCGCCAGTCTCTCCACCCACTGGTGGAGTTTGCAAACCCAAGGATGATCTGTGTGTCCGTTCAATAAAGTCTTCTTGGGGAAAAGGCTGACATCCTTGTGTCCTTAAGGAAGCCGTGGGCAGGAGTGACGCCGATGGTCCCTCAGATATCCTACAACCCCTCCCGTGAAATGAGGGCAGGCCAGGAAAGATTCACCCAAGCCCTTTCCCAGAATATGGGAGTGTTGGTGACAGATCCATGAGGTCCTGCCGCGACCACAGAGCAGGGCTGTAGGCCAGCAACAGTGCCCACAAGTTCAGGGGGACACCTTGATGCCAACCCCCAGGTCCCATCAGCAAGGGCAGAGCCTCAGATCAGACTGTGGCCCCCCTGGGCACTTGTTTGAAGGAGACCTCTGGACCAGTCACCCACAGTGGCCATCATCACAAAGTTAAACAGTTCATGCCGAAGTGCCACCTAAAATGTCCTTTTAGGAGCATGCCATTGGCACCAGCTGCCAAATCACCGACAGCACAAGCCAGCAAGGGAACTCCCCTGCCCCTGCCTCTCCCAGAGTGTAGGGTAGGAAAAGGCAGCCCCACCTCCTAGGGACAAGGACAAAACAGATCCCTGAGCCTGGGGAACAATGAGTCCCCCATGCTGTGTCTCTAGAAATGCCCCAGAGAAAACCAACCAACTTGGAAATGAAAAAGGGTCTCCTGGCCACAGCACTGGAACCCACATCACAAGAGGTGCCAGCCCGAGAGATAAGGCCAAAGGGACCCCATGAAGCCAATGGGAGGCCTAGCCGCTGGGCAGGTGCCCTGGCATCCAAGGCCACAGCGTCAGCCGCGCCCACCCTAGCCACTGCAGGACTGGCACAGGTGCCCAGCAGGTGCTCCAGAGCTACAGCACCTTTCCTGTGTCAGCCCAGGGCCACACACTGAACCAGCCTGCAGGGGGAACGGCCACGGGAGAGCACAGGATGATTCTCCTCCATCCTGCCGGTCCTCAGGAAGAAGCCTTTCCACCTCTGATGACATTTCAGATACCTAAGAGGATGGTGTGCTGTCCTTCAAGTCAGAGGAGTTTAACAGTGTCAGATCTCCTTGTGAGGTAGGCAGGTGCATCTCCACTGCCAGTAACCCTGGCCATGCAGGTACTGGGGCAGCATCCTCCGCTCCCATAGGCTGCATCGGTGGGCAGCTCCAGGATTCCCCGTGGGACTGGCTCTGGCACCGCAGGACAGATCCTCCTGAAGGCGCTTTTGTTCTGGGAGCCGGAGCCCACTGAATGCCCTCCCTCCCTGCTTTCCCAGCAGTCTCTGCAGCAGAGACTGTCCCTGGTGGGGGAGAAGATGCCAGAGCTGAAGCCTTGGTGCCCGGGCAAGCCCTGGCTGTGCCTCCTGGAGAACATGCAGCCTTGAGCTGCCCCTGCTTCCACAGGGCACAGGTTGTCCCGCTCCTCTGAGCAGTCTCTTCCCCCATGGGGTCACGTGCTGTCACTACATAGTCACATATACATGGCAAAAGAGGCAGACACACCACAACACACACTACAACACCCACACTGGAATCCCAGACTGACACGTCCCCTCACATTCACACATGCACACTCTTGACCACGCCACCTGCCCCCAAGTGTGCCCACGCACACAGCCATGTACCTGCCAGGGTGGCCTGGCGGGTCAGGTGGAGAGACGCACAACCTTGAAGGCACCCTCTGCTTCCCTGAGCTGTTCCCCTTCCCTTGGTCCCTGTCAACAGAGGCTGCCAGCCACAGGGACCCTCCCAATGGGCGTCCCGGGTCCTGGAAGTGGTCTCCTTGGGTCTCTAGCTGGAAATCCTGCAGGACCTCAGGGGTGCGGCACTGGCAGCCAGGCCCCCTAGATGAGTCTCTCTTCGGGTGGCACCTTGAGGACGCTGTCCATCTCCAGCCGGGCCCCGGCCACCTCCTGCTGGCTCGGGCTGTAGGTGCCCTCTGACTGGCGCCGCTTCCTGGCAGCCAGGATCCCTGAGAGGAGGCCCAGGAGCAGGAGGAGCAGGCAGGCACAGGCTGCAGGCACAGCCACCTCCAGCAGCGGGAACGGCAGTGGCAGTGGCAGGCCCTTCTGCAGGAGGGGAAAGGACATAAGGACGTGCTCAGAGAAAACCCAGACAGGGAGCAGGCTACCCCAGAAAGTGGTGAGGGGCCCAACCCAAGGATATGCAAGCAGGTGCCTTCCTGCAGCCACCTGTGGAGCCACTGGGGTCAGGGACACTGATGACTAAGGGGCCCCAGCTGGAGGAGAAAGCGGGACCCAGGCACCTCTAGCACAGAAGGTGAGCAGAGTGTGTGGGACTCCAATGTGCCCTTCCTCCAAGCGGGAACAGTGGGGCAGACTGAGCTGCACCGTTGGGGAGGTCAGAATGCTCCAGGGCCTGCCTGCCTACAAGGGCTGCTCCGACAAGCTGTCCCTGGGAGACAGGCCTGGCTTTGAGGGGCTCAGCAAACTCCCCCATCTTCAGTCACAGACCCCCAGGATGCCCTCATGAATGGCCTGCATGCCTGGGATTTTAAAGTCCTTGAGTCCCAGAACCTCCAGGACTCCAGAGTTCAGAGGTCTCAGCTGTGCCAACCCTCTCTTTGTACCTTGAGGTTCCTCAGCCAGCTGTGACCTGTGCCCTCAACCCTAGCACACAGCCTGGAGAATGGGCCTCAAAGCTTGTTCCAGTCCTGGGTGTGTCCTCCAAGGCCTCCACCCTGGCACTTTTGGGGAGCTGTAAAGCCATTTCCTCCCGCTGGCCTGGGAGGAGGGGAAGCCAGAGACTATAAAAGTTCAATTTGAAAGGAAACGTTCCCCAGAGACAGAGATGACCTGCAGTTTTTGACCCAACTGCCAGAAGCCTGGGGAGACCAGGGCTGCTCTCAGACTGCCTTCCCTGACTTCCCCCGCCAGCACTGTGCTGGAGTGCTGGTCTCCTCTGCCCAGGACCCTCCCCAACATCAAGGACACCTTCCCCATGGCCAAGCCCACCCTGGCACAGAATCCTGGGTTCCCCAAATCCTCCTGGCTCAGAAACTCCTGGAGCTCATAGGCTCCCTGTGCTGTGGGCCCTGAGTCGTGGTCCCAGAGCAGACTGCACAGATCCTACCTGTTCCCACTGCCATTCCCCCGGGCACTGCAGGGAGCCTAGGCCAGTGCTGGCCAGGAGCCTCGGGCCCTCACTGATGGCTGATGGAGCCCCAAGTTCCCCAAGAGAGACAGTGTCTCCCACGGGGGAGGGCAGGACATGCAAAGGAACAGTCACCTCCTGAAGCTTTGGCCCAAGGACACTCCCCACCCTGCCCCATCTCATGGAAGTAGCCTGCATCCGAGCCGCCACTCACCACCACTTCACAGATGGGACCGGAGAATCCCGAGCTGCAGGTGCATTCGTACACCCCACCTGACGCCTGGCAGGTGCCCCCATTCAGACAGGGGTTGGCTTCGCAGGGCAGGGGGAGGCTCTGACACCTGGGGAGGGAGAGGCTGGGTGCTGAGGGCTGCTAGCCCCGTTGCCCCCTCATGTTCTCCACCCCAAAACAAGATCATTCACCACCCCTGAGCAGCACCTTTACTGCTGGCTGGGCCCTGCCAGAGGGCCAAGGTTGAACATCATAGTCCCCCTCTTTCAGCCTAGCATTCCCGACCATGAAGGACTCCACGAGAGCTACAGGAAAGTGTGTTGACAAGCAAGTGGTGTCCAGGGACACTGACTCAATCTTCCCTGTAGTTGGGGAGGCTCAGGACCCAGCTCTCAGAAATGCCAGTGGCATCTATGTAGCGGAAAATAGATTTGCATGCCCCAGAAGGAAAAGATCGAGGGACACTGGTAAGCTGTCTGGCACTGCAACCCCCATGAGGAGACCGAGGGTCCCCACATCCACCATGCTGGCTGGCGGGGACCAGGGCCATCCTGCCAGGGTCTCTGTGCTCATCAATCCAGTTGCCCAGCCTGCAGTCCCCAGACTCACCTCTGGCCAGCAGAGCCCTCCTGGCAACTGCAGTTGGCACCACCGGGCCCAGCCTTGCAGGGGCCACCATTGAGGCAGGTAAGGTTGAGGGTGCACCCCTCGGGCAGGATGGGCAACCTGAGGAGAGAAAGCACAAGGCTGGAACCAGGTGACAGTGGTCACTGAGCCTGGTGTCCTCATCTGTGGGATTCAGGGCCCAGCCCCACAGACCTCCCTGTCCCCCCGGGAAACTGGGAAGTAAGGGGACCCTGGGCTTGCTGTCCAAGATGCTTGACAGAGCCAGGGACCTCTCTCTGGACAGAGAGGGAACTTTCCTGAGACAGAGGCCTCTAGAAGCCAGTGAAGTGGACCGGGGCAGGGGAGAGACCAGGGCTACTCCTGTCCTACTCGGGTGGACATTTATGGAGGGGGAGTCAGGCTCTAGGGGAGAGCTTGGTGGGCAGGCAGCAGCGAGCAGAGATCAGGCCGAAGGTGGGAAATGTTTGCTCTGCCCTGATCCCAGAGATAAGTGCGTGCTGGTTTCAAAGCCTCAAGATCCTCTCCCAAAACTAGCTCTGGGTTCCCCCAGACCGGTCCGAGATTCACGGTTAGAGGACAGTGCTTGAGTGTGTTTTTTACCCTTACGTGCATCAAACTGAACTGTCATTCCCATTTACTGATGAGAGCCCGGAGGTTCAGAAAGAGAAGCGACGCCCCCACAACGGACCCACCGCTGCCCCTGGGCCCAGGTTCCCACCTCCAGACCCACACCCCATCCCTGGCCTGGCTCCGCCGTCCGCACCTGCAGCGCGCTCCCGTGAAGCCCAGCGGGCAGCGGCACTCGAAGCGGCCGTCCGGGCGCGCGTGACACCAGCCGCGGGCACAGGGTGCCGAGCGACACGGGTCGACGCGGGCTTCGCAGCGCGGACCCTCCCAGCCCGGGCCGCAGGCACAGGCGACCGCGTCGAAGAGGTCTCGGCAGGCGCCGCCGTGCAGGCAGGGCGAGGGCGCGCACACGGGCGCACCGCGGCAGCCCAGGCTCGGGGCCGGCGCGCCCGGCCAGGGGACGAAGTGCTCCCTGCTCCCGGTGGGCGCTCCGGGCCGCGGCCGTGCCAGGGCCAACGGGAGGCCGCCGAGCGCCACGCGGCCCAGGCAGCCCGTGAAGTTCTCGGCCAGCAGGATGCGCGCGGCGCCCGGGCCCCGCAGGAAGCTCAGGTCACCCGCCAGGCCGCGCAGCGCCGCGGGCGTCGCCGCACCGTCCAGCCACAGCAGCCAGCGCGACGCGGCGGCTGCCGGGCGCTCCATGGCCAGGCGCACACGGTGCCAGGCGCCATCGGCCACTCGGGGCCCGGGCGCGTGCAGCACGGCCCCGGCCGCGTCCCCGCCGCTGCGCACCCTGGCCACCAGCGAGCCGTTGCTCACGGCCAGCCACAGCCCCGCGTCGGCGCCCGCGGGGACGCGGAGCAGCCCGCCCTCGGGGTCGCGCGTGCGGAAGGCCAGCGAGAGCCCACTGAGCGAGCGCCCCGACACGTTGTGCGCAGTGAATGCAGCTGGGGGGCCCTCGCGGAACGTGGCCTCGGCCACACCTGCGGAAAGAAGGGGAGAGCATTAGGAAATGACCCACGGGGCCTTCTCCAGGGACACCACTGCCGCGAGCTGAGCTCGCAGGATTCAGAAACTGCACCTGCCCCTCCGCACGCGCCTTTCACTGGTCATGGAGGCTTCCTCCTCACCGCGTCACTTTCTAAAGTGCCATCTATTGTTTCCTTTTGTGAAAACCTTCTGTGGCTCCCAGCTGCCCTTCAGATAAAGTCCAAATTGCCTGACCTGGGATTCAGTGCCCCTGCCTATTCCTTCACCCATTTCCTGATGTGCCCCCTGAGCTTGTGTTTTTAGATGGTTTTACAAACCTCTGGGGCTTCAAACATGCTCTTCTTCCTGCCTGAAATGTCCTTCCCTGTGGTCTGTCAGAGTCGGCACATGTTCGCCCCCTCCCTCCCTCTGGACAGAATGGTCCATCACCCTGGACAGGAGCTTTAAATATTTCTGGCCCAAGGTTCAGCATAAAGCATGGGGATCATAGTGTCGAGCTCTAGCAGTTGGGCTCCCCAGGCCATACACTCACAGACAAAGCCATCAGGGACCTCCTCACAGGTGGCTGGTGAGAGGCAGGGCTGACTGGGGCACCACTGCTGCTGGGCACACGTGGGCCCTGTGAAGTTGTCAGGACAGGTGCAGTGGAAGTCATTCCAGGTGACCAGGCAAGTCCCACCATTGAGACAGGGATTGGGCTGTGAAACAGGGCAAAGACTAGCTCAGGCCGGGACTCAGTATCAGCCCCCCAGCACTATCGCTGCTGTGACTCTCCACAGGAGCAGCTCCTGGGGACACATGACCTCCCAAACCATGTGGAAGGTCAACATCATTCTCACGTCACAGATGAAGAGCTAGGGCTCAGCCAGGTGAGCTCACGTGGCCAGATCACCCACGGGCAGGGACAGGAAACGGTTCCCACCTGGGCTACTCCATTCCAGTGTGAGCGCTAATTTTGAACCCATGGGTTCCTCTCCCCCAAGCAGAAAGGCTCAGGCAGCCCTGTGTCTCGGTCAGGGTGCCCAGGGACTGAGTAGGCTGGGGGGACAGGCACAGGGACCACCAGAGAATAGGAGCAGCTGGATGAGAGGAGTTGAAATCAAATCTAGCTCTGCCTCTCTAGCCAAAGGACCTTGGACAGGCCACTCTACCCCCACACACACCTCAGTTTCCTCATCAGGGAAAGGCTGGGCTAACCTCCAGGGACCCAGGACAGATCCTGGGTTAAGGTCCCATCCCAGGCACTCACACTGCATGTGTCCTCCGAGATGCAGCCCTGGGTGAGGTTCTGGGACTGGCCCAGCTCACTAAGCTGGCTGGAGTTGTCCCCCGGCAGAGGAAAGAAGGGGAGGCGGAGGCCATTGAGTCGAAGATCCTGGAGGCAGCCTCTGAAGGGGCCCCCCCAGGGCTGGCTGTCAGCCGGGAGGAGCCTCCCGCCCACGTGCACCTGCTGCCCCAGGCCCTGAAGCTGATCAGGACCGAAGCTGAGCGTCACCAGGTGTCGGAGCCCGTCGTCCCAGCGCCCAGGCAACTCCACAGTGGAGCTGCCCGGCACCGTGGCCCGGATCTGGCCCCCGTCCAGGAAGATGGTCAGGCCGGCCACTGAGTCGTTGGCAAACTGGAGCAGCAGGCCGGCGGGCTCCCGAGTGCGGAGGAAGAAGGACACGGTGAGGCTGAGGCCTGGCAGCTCGAGGAGCAGGAAGGAGATGGAGCTCAGTGCACCCCTCAAGCCAAAAGTGGCAGCAGGAATCTCTGCAGGGAGAGACCAGGCTAGGTGTGAGGCCTACAGGCCGGGGGGGGGGGGGGGGGGGCGGGGAGTTGCTGGAAGAAGGAGCCCAGGTTGCCACCTCCCACCTGGGCTCACCGTTAGCGCACGTGGGACCACTGTATGGCCGCGGGCAGTCACAGTGGAAGTGAGTCCACAGGTCCACACAGGCCCCTCCGTGGGCACAGGGCAGAGGCTGGCACTGCTCACGGTGTTCACAGCCCAGGACAACGTTCCCGCTGAGGTTGCCCAGGAGGAGAAGGTGCCCATCCACAAGCACATCCTGGAAGCAGCCAGCAAAGGCCGAGCCACCCAGCCGGGCAGAGCAGGGTTCGGAAGGCCCAAGGGTCACCAAAGCTGTGGAACCTGGGGCCACAGGACCAGAGGCCACGCAGAGCCCAGAAGGGCAGCCCTCATGCCAGAGCCGTAGCTCCAGGGTCCCGAGGCGCAGTGCCACCTCCACTGGGTGCCAGTGGCCATCATTTAGGACCATGCCTGGCAGTCTCAGGACAAGAGTGGTGGCACCATGACTCCAGAGTGTGACTTGAAGTGTGCCCTCCACCAGTTCAAGTTCCAAGCTGTTCTGGGTATCAGTTCGAGTGGCCAGGGCCCCAGCAGGCAGTGTGGTACGAAACCTTAGTGCCAGGCCCAAGGGGCCACCTCCCGGCACCGATGCCCACACAGGGATCCCAGCCACCACAGAGAAGGTGGTATTCTGGCCACAGTCAGGCCCATGGGTACCAGGTGGGCAGCGGCAGGCATAACTGTGAATCCCAGACTTGAAGATGGGAATGCAGGTGGCAGCCAGCGGGCAGGTGTGGCCCTGGCAGCCTGTGAGCTGCACAGAGCAGTCATGTCCACCCCAGGTCTCTGGGCACCAGCAGGTATAGCCTGCCACAGTGTCATCACAGGTCCCGCCGTGGAGGCAGGGCTCCGAGAGGCACTCGTCCACATCTTCCTCACATGTGAGGCCTTCGGGAGAGACCAGGCCAAGGCTCAGGAACACCCAGGGCCAGAACCACAGGCTTGGCCCTCAGCTTCCACGCAACCAAACCAGTTCCCGAAGGGTTTCTCCTGGTCTGCTGGAGTCTCCTTCCTCTCTGTGTCTAGAGAGGTATAGAGAGTCCACACTCTGTGATTCCATCCCCAAACATTCTCCAACCCCGCCCCACTTTCTGAGCTAAAGTCAGCGCCTCCAGCTCACCCACCTCAGGTGCCCTTCTCCATCTGCCTCTGCCTGCAGCCAGAGCTCTACTTGCCAGGGTCACCTGGCCAGGCTCCCCCATCACGCACCCTAGCCTTCACGACCCCTCATGGCTGGGCTCCAGCAAGCCCTCGAGCCTCGACCCTGCTTTCTAAACCCCTTGAGCTCCCCATTCCTCTGCGCATTTCCTGGAAAGTCCTGCCTCTACAGCTGTGCTCACACGCCTCTCGGCTTGGAATGCCTCATCCTCCCGTACTGTAACTTTCGAACTCCTATTCATTCTGCAAGTCTCAACTTAGAAGCCCCTCTGTTTTCTCCCATGGGATCCCCTTCACATCTAAATATGTCCTTGATGCCCAATAAAGGGCCCGCATGGCTTTTGTGGAAAGAGATGGATCAGAAGAGTGGGGATGGGCATGCACATCTGGATCATACTAAGTGACTCCAATCTCTACCCTACCATCTCTTTGAGGGGCTCTACGCCACTGTGATGAGACCACTTAACCCTCTCCTCTTGCCCTCCCTCCAGGTTCTCAGGCCCCAGCCCGAGAGGCCACATCCAAAGGCTCAGCCAGAGGTGCCACAACAAACCAAGGCTGGCCCTGTGCCCCCCAGCCCAGCTGGGTGAACCTAGCTCCAGGGGAGCGACCAGATGGGACACCCAGCCCCAGTCAGCCACAGACACCACAGGTGCCTCCTGGGAACCCCAGCCACCTGCCCAGCCTCCCCCAGTACACAGCCCTGTCCCTTGTACCTGTCAGGAGCCACAGGGCCCCCAGGAAGGGGCACAGAACACACAGCGACATGGCTCCCCCAGACAGCAGAGAACACGGCTGGCACTGGGGCCGGGAGCACAACGCACGCCCAGCCACCCCCTCCCTCCAGCAGCTCAGGAATGCTGGGCACTGGCCTCCCCCACACCAGCCCTGCCCAAGAGAGGCGAGCAGGAGCCCGGCCCCACAGCAGGGTCCCCTCCTGGGCCCTAGGCCTCAGAGACCTGAGCTCAGCTAGAAGCAGCTGGGTGCCAGTGAAGCAGGTGAACCTGGAGGTCAGTACCTCTCTCCAGGGCACCACCGCCACATCTGCAAGAAGTGCGTACGAACCCCTACCTCCAGGGGCTGCGGTGAGGGGGAAGAAAATGGAGAAACACTTTTCAGAGGCCAGTTCCAGCACCTGGCTGGAACTCCAGGGTTGGGACTGGGGACTTCAGCAGACGGTAGCCCCACTTTCAGGCACCCCAAGTCACCTCAGGGTAGGGAGTGCTGAGCCACAGAATCTTCGATCCCCACCACCTTCCCCAGACAGGAAGCCAGCCTGGTTCCTGGGAACCTGCCGGTAGAGCAGGCAGCACCACTGGGCAGGAATGCGGGCGGGCTGATGGGGGAGGCAGCAGGGACATTCCAGCAGGGCAGGGACACTAGGGAGTATGTGCCCCTCAGGTCCACCACTGTCCATGTGACTGCATCCACATGGACCCAAGGAGGTAGAGATGTCCTAACCCCCCCACACCCCCAGCTAAGCAGCAGGCCCCAGCTCTCCAAAGGCAAAGCCTGTGCTGCAGCCCACCCCCAACTCTGCAAAGCCCACCCTCCCCCAGCCTGGCTCAACCTGTATGGCCCACATGCAGGGCCAAGCTCCCCGCCCCAGGCTCTGGGTCCAGCCCAGCTCTCTCTCCTGGGCCCTGGTGCTGGCTTTTCCCTGTGGGGGTTCCAGAGATGCCCAAGATATATAAAGCCAGACTCTCCGACCCCCAATCAGTGCCACCCAACAAGCATCCTCTTGATTTGTGCCATTCACATGTGAGGACCTAAATATTTCTCAGCCGCTTCCAGAGCCTGGGGCCCAACTCAGCCTCCCTCAGCTGTGACTTAGGCAACCACACTCATGTCTGTCCCCATCTCCTGTCCCCATTCATCCACACAGCAGACAGAAGGGACCTTTCCACCCACCAGCTCGGACTTTGCCCTTCCCCCACCCACCCTGGCACACCCCATCCCGGTACCTGTGTAGCCATCCAAGCAATGGCACTGGAAGCCATTGGGCAGGTCCTGGCAGCGGCCGCCGTTGAGGCATGGCCCTGAGGCACATTCATCCACATCCACGCTGCAGTTGTCCCCTGCAAGAGGCCCATCAGTGGCTCCCACCTGCACCTCCCAACCAGACCAGAGTTAAGAGTCCATTTTATAGCCAGGGACACTGAGGCTCCGCGTGAGAGAAACTGCCTCAGGCAGGGTAGCACAAGATGCCCAGCAGAGCTAGGTCTCAGGCTGGCTTGGACTCCCGTCTCAGGACATCTGGATGGACGTGGTAGACAGCTTTGCTGCTAGGCGCTCACCCTCAAAGCCCGCAGAGCAGCGGCACAGGAAGCCCGCCGCGTGGCGGAAGCTGAAAGCCCCGGGCAGGGGGGCCTGGGCGCCCCCATACAGGGCCGGGTCTGAGCGTTGCAGGCAGAGGCCTCCGTTCTGGCAGGGGCTTGAGGCACACTCGTCCTCGTCTACCTCACACCACTCACCGCTGAAGCCTGGGGACACAAACGCAGGTATCAGGTCACAGGAGGTCCCTAGGCAGCTCCCCTCCCCTGCCACCAAGCTGGCCCAGGGTCAGGCACGTTGGACAGCTCTGAGTATAAGTCACCAATGGTGAGTAGTACATTGTTGTTACTGAGCACTGCGCCTGTGCCGCCACATCCTGGCCAATGCTCCTCCGCCATGCCTTCTTCCCTGCTCAGTTCACCCTGAGGAGCAGGTGCTATTAATTTGCAAGCTGGGAAACTAAAGCGCAGACATTAGTACAATGATGTACACAGCAGAGGGCCCGGACCGAACTTGCGCATGCGCACACTTGCATGACTGCGCCCTTCCGCCCGCACTCCTGGGAGAGGGGGGCGCGCCTCTGTTCTCACCGGCGTGCACGTACCTGGCCAGCAGAGGCAGCGGAAACTCCCTAGGCCTTCGAGGCAGGTGGCATTGTGCGCGCAGGGCGCAGACGCACACTCCAGCACCTCTAGCTCGCAGCGCGCGCCCTCGTAGCCCGTGCCCGCGCAGTCACACCGGAACCTGGAGCGGGCATGGCGGGAGCTGACCGCACCTCCCCCAGACCGGCCCACCACTTCCCTGCTTCGGAGCCTGGCCGGGTCTGCAGCCCCGAGTTCGCTTACCCGTTAACCTGGTCGTGGCACGTGCCCCCGTGCGCACATGGCTGGCTGTGGCACTCGTCGAGGTCCAGCTGGCAACTGGCACCCCCATAGCCCGGTGCGCACATGCAGAGGTAGGAGCCCACACCGTCAAGACACGAGCCCCCGTGCAGGCAGGGCGCTGAGGCGCACTCGTCCACCTCAGCCTCGCAGGTCACGCCTGGACGGGGCGAGAGACACAGAGACCCGGTGATGCACACCCAGGGGAGGTCAAATCGGCCTGGCCAGGAGTCACCATTGCTCCGTTTGCAAGGGGCGACCCGTTGGCTCATTCATTTGAAGAACTGCAACATCCATGCCCTAGTAGAGTCCTGGTAGCCAAGGCCTAGAGCCAGGATTGGGCTCAGACCTAACTGAGGACTGGCTTTTAGTATCAACAAGTGACAAGGGAGCTGGATCCTGTGAAAGGAAGACGGTACTGTGTGGGGAATTAGAAGTTAGGAATGGTTTCTTTAAAAGTTTTTGTTTCTTTTCTTTTCTTTTGTGGGGGTTTTGTGTTTGAGAAACAACACAGTTTGGGGGGCTTGGGGTTTTTTTTTTTTTTGAGACAGGGTCTGGGCTTGAATTCACTATGAAGCACAGGCTGACCTCCAACTCACAAGGTTCCTTCAGCCTTCCTAATACTGAGATCACAAGTGTGTGCTATCACACCCCGCAAGAGAGTTTTGTTTTGTTTTGTTTTTGTTTTTTTAAAGATTGGGATAGCAGCAGGCTCCTGGATGCCAGAAGGTGACCACAGTTGGTCAGGTCCTGCTGGGGGTGGTGATGGGGGCCCTCTAGCAAGGGGAGGAGTCTGACAGGTGAGGCAGGAGTTGGAGGGCAGCCCCAGGGATAGGGGGTCAGGTAACAGACTCTAAGCTCACCCTAAAGGTTACAAGTAGCTGAGTGATATGATCCTAGCTACATCTCAGGAGGCTCACTGATGTCTTTAAGGAGGGGCCCCTGGGCAGCGACACTGGCGTCGGTACACGCTGGCTGGGTGGTTGCCCATGGAGAATCTCATGGTTTGAAGATTCACCCCTGAGTTCACACATCATTGCAAACCCCAGGGCACCCTGCCCTGCCTCTGCTCCCCCAAGGTGGATTTGGCCATGAGGAGGCAGAGGCCCAGCTGACTCCTGCTGGAATTCTCCCCCTTCCCAGCTCAGTGAGCACAAAACACAGTCCGTCCTTCCCATGACCTGCTAGGCCCACTCCCACCCTCTGTGCCAGGGGGAGCCAGGCTCAGGCCTCCTGGAATCCCAACCTCCTCCGTCCGGCCTGGAACGGACAGAGAGAGATGAGTCATGACAGACACCGGTGCCTCACACCCAGCAGTTATCAGAGCACTGAACTTCCGGTGCACGCACACCTGCCAGTGTGCACGCACATTTCACATGCAGCAAGGCAGTCAGAGAGCCCATTCACCCATCGACAGGGCAGCAGACTGTCCTAGGCTGAGACCCACTCACTGGCCTGTGCCCCCAGCTGCATGCTTTTGCCAACTTTTGGCAGCAACTACAGGATGCCCTGGCCTCAGAGCTGGGTGGAGACGGGTGGCTGGTTTCCGGAGGCCCAGATTATGTGCGTTCAGTGCTGGCCTTGGTCACTTTTCTGAGCACTCAGGGCATCCAGGATCTTGGGGGCACATTGGCATTCTGACTGGAACAAGACAACGAGTGGTCTCCAAGTAGGACATTGGCAGACAACAGAGGGAGGACCGGGGCCTGTGTTGCAGTGTTACAAGGATGTTCTCCCTCGAGGGCCATTGGATGGTCCAGTTTCTGTGTGACTGCCTGACCCATGTCTGGAGTGAGACAATGTTCGCCATGCTGTGTGGGGTCCCCAAGAAAATAAAAGTGGCAGAATCTGCCAGGTTACTCTGACTGCCAGAGATGCCTGAGGCTGGGTTGCACCCCAGAGCCAGAGCCAGCTGTGCAGAAGGGGCTGAAATAATGTTAAGTGCCTGAAAGAGGCTGGACACCCAAACACACAATTTCACCGGAGTTGCCAGGTGGGCCCAGGAGATGGCAGTTCCGTAGTAGCCAGGGGTGGGGACACTCAGCCCTGGAAGCTTCCTGGGGCAGCTCATAACTAAAGCCACAGGTGAACTGGGCCGTTTAGACTAGGAGCCACGGGTGGGACCCAGACCTCCACCCCGGGCAGTGCAGACATTACCTGCATAGCCGAGGGGGCAGCGGCACTCGAAGCGATCAGCCAGGTTGTGGCAGGTGGCCCCATGGTGGCAGGGCCTGGACGCACACTCATCGATGTCCAGCTCACAGTGGGGACCCTGGAAACCCGGCACGCAGTAGCATTGGAAGCTGTTGGGATCTGGTCCCTGGGGCACACACAGGGCGCCGTGTTGGCAGGGCTGGGTGGCACAGCCCTGGGGCTCCATGGGCCCACAGGTGTGGCCATCACTCTCCGTTGTCTGACACTTGGTCCCTGGAGCACATGACCCTGAGGCACAAGGCTCTGAGGTCTGCCCACTCAGGGTCTCTGAAGGCACCGTCCCTGTAGAAGGAGGAGAGAAGCTGGGTGGGCTTCGGGGATGTGTCCTCCCCGCACTCTCAGCCACAGACCCCAAAGGGCAGCCCAAATCTGCTGTGCTTCGGGGACGCTCAGGGGCCGAGTGTAAGGCAGGTCACAGTCATCTAGGCCTGGACCCGAGTCTCACAGCAGAGAAACAGGCCTGGCACCTGGCACCCTGGCAAAATTAACGAGAAGACACAAGGCTGGGAGCTCCCCTACATGGTGTCCTCCCCTCCTGGCAGTGTCCTGGGGAGCAGGGCTGTCACTGTGCCCAGGGCATGAGCCAGCAAACAGACTCAAGAAAGAAAACCACGGCTGTTTCGAGGTCTTAACACTGGGGTAACGTCGCTGTCCTGTTCTTGTTGGCCACACCAGGAAGGGACACCGTCTAGGTTCCCCTTCCTCACTCCCTTCCTAGAGCAGTCCAGGAGGACAGGGCATCAGCCTGCAGTGGGGGGCCCCCCTGTCCTGCCCCTCTCCCGTTGGGGGTCTGGTAACTCCATCCATGAGTGAAACCGGAGCTGTCTGACCTCAGCCTCCTAGAAGGGGCGTGTGGCTTCAAAGGCTGGACCTCATCCCACCCTCCTGCCGGCCGCCCTGGCCAGCGGCTCCTGGAGGATCCCTGGCTTTCATTTCTTCCCCCACCACTCAGCAAGCGCCTCGGCCTAGGGGTGGGGCTGGCCAAGGTCACGTGGAAGAGCAGGTACTGAGCCTGGGGCACTGAGCACCTGACTCAGCACTTCAAGGTTGCCAGTTTGGCTGGGAGTCAAGACCCCGACCTTCCTCCCATTCTGCCTACCTGACAACCTCGGCACTAACAGGCCAGGGTTCAAATCCCAGCTCAGAAAATGACTGCCCGTGAGATGTCAGGCAAGTCATTCTTCCTACCAAGCCATTCCCAGCCTAGAGGGAATGAGACTAGTGCATCCCTCAGATGAACCACCGGTGGTGAAGAGTCCTGAACTCAGAGGCTTGGCCAGGAAGTGCTGCAGTGGGGGAGGGGTTCCCGCCAGAGCCCCACCTGGAGTTCCCCTCCCCCATCCAGATTGTCAACGCGATGCTAAGCAGGCCCCAGAGCAGCCAGTCCCTGCAACCTTCCCTCTCCCTTTGTGAAGACCCTCAGATAAGGCTGCCAGCCTCAAAGGCGTCACCCACATTCCGTGTCCACTGGCCCAACCCCCGCACTCCCCAGCGGGCCTGAGAGGGGAGGGGACAGAGGACAGTGAGCTAGGGGAGATGTGGATGGCCAGTTAGTTCCACCTCGAGCGCCCAGCCCCTGGTGCAGCTCAACCCGGGCTCATCCGTTCACACTGGGGGCCCAGCACCCACAAGGGCCAGGTGTGCAGAAGAGCACAAAGAATCTAGAACACGTTCAGGGTGGTGGGGGACGCCCCTATCCCCCACTGCTCAGGGCATCTGTTCCCAGTCCCTCTGCCAGACCTGGTCATGGAGGAGGGGAGGAGACTGGGGCTGAGGTTTTAACAGTTTACAGTCAGGTTGCTGGGCTGGATGCCTTGGGGGGGGGGCAGACTGATAAAAGGTGAAAGAGGATCTTATGGGGGTGGGCCTGGATCGAGCTTCCTCAGGAAGGGCACAGGTTTGGGGCGCAGGTCTGGGCTACATCTTAGGCACAGACAGTACCCCTAAGGGCATTGTGAGGACTCTGAATGACCCGTGTGTGGCCCCGGTGCCCAAGGAGCCCTCTGTGTGGGGCTGTGACCCATGCCAGTCGAGACCCAGGATGGTGAAGGGCCCTGGCTGTTGGGTCCAGAACACACAGAGCTCATTTTAGCCCTAACAAGGCATCACTCATCCCCTGTGTCCGCACCCCAGGCTGGATCTGGGCCCCAATTTTGAGCCCTCCAAATTGGAGAGCAGGGCCTAGACCTGGACAGGGTGCTAGGTGCCGAGGGGGGCTTCTTACAGTCTGCCTTCCCTGGGGTCCTGGGCCCTGTGGGTCCTCTCAGGGCCAGAGCAGATGGGCTCAGGACATGGAGTGCAGTCCTTGGAGTAAAGTGAAACTCCAGGAGGAATCCACTTCCCAGACCCACAGCCTGAGATGGGGCTGGGGTCAGAATTAGTTCTTGCTATTCCAGAGCCTCCCATCCAGGGTTTCCAGAGTGACCCGGAGCCCACGGCCCCGACAGTCTGCATTGCCCCCGCTCCAGGGATTGTTTTGCACACGGAGGAGTGGGAACCCCAGTCTTCAGAGTGTCTGTCTTGGGAATCCTGGGAGGCCAGGCTGGCTCAAAGAAGGGAGCCGGCGCGCGTAGGGTTGTCCCGGGCAAGCTAGAGGGGCGGGGCATGTTACTAGGGCAACGAGGGGCCTGTGCTTATCTTTACAAATCCTTCCTGACCTCTGGGACTGCCTGGGCTGACCTGGCAGGGGAGGGATTAACGGAAGCAACCCCTGTCCTCGACCTGCCGCCTGTCCCCCAGGAGAGGCAGAAGGGGCCGACGCATTCACCGAGTGCCCACTATACACTAGGACCCTGCATCTGGTATCATGTTGTTATATTTGGTTTGAACCAGAAGAGGGGGCTGTTTAGGAAACTACTTTTTAAATGCAAAGAGGTTGATCAACCTGCCTGGGATCAGCTACAGTGGTTCATGCTTGGAATTCCAGCACTCTGAAGGCTGACACAGTAGGATCACCCCAAGTTCCTGGCCAGCCTGGGCTACACAGTGAGTTCAAGATCAGCCAGAACCATGGCGCGACCCTGTCTCAAAACAAAAAACAAAAACAAAAACAAAAACATTGCCCCAGTACCATCCCTTCAAAAGCTAACAATCGGACGGTCCGCGTTCTGCCAGTGGGGGAGACATTGCCACCTTCATATTGTGTGTGGCCTTAGCGCATCTTCCCCACCTCCCACTTAGCGCCTCCCACTTGCGGCTTTTCTCTAGAATGCAGGTCGGGGCTGCAGGTGTGGCTCAACAGGGCAGCCCTGCCTCATGTAACAGGGGCCCTGGGTTCTCCCCCCAGCGCTGCTAGAGAGCAGCAAAGACGGGACGCCGGCTAGAGCAGGCAGCCTTCCCAGCTGCACAGAACCTCGCTCAGGGCTCTGAAGCCCGACAGGCTGCCCGACCGGATGAGGTGAGAGGGAATGTATTTCCACGTACTGACCCGGAATCTCCCCAGGTGGGGCTGAGAAGGGTTCCAGACACCCACTCGGCCTCAGCAAGAAGGGCACGGGTCTCTAAAAGAGCTCTTGCCTTGGGTGCACAAGGTCCTGGGTTCGACTCCCAGCACCATAGAAAAGGTGGAAGAACTTGGAATACTCTGTCAAAAATGTCTACTCTAAGAGACATCATCCCACCCCATAGGCTCTCTGTGCCTGGCATTGCATGTCCCCCATTTCCAAACCGTGGTCTCAGGACACTGGTCCTGGGAGACACCTCCCCAAGGATGGGCAAATCCAGACCTGCCACCTGCCACTTTTAACTACTTCACTATTAATATTAGTTAACTATTAATAGACGATTCCTTAAAATTTCCTTCGACTGTCAGGGTTCCGTACCAAGAGCTAGGTCAGAAAAGCACTGGGTGAGTTCTTGAATTGGCCTCAGAGTGGAATTTGTGTCCTGTCTCACTGAGGCACAGAGGAGACTGACTTTCCAAAGGCAACAGCCACGGTCAGCTTTGAAGCCCCACCCTGTCACACATGCAGGGAGTGACTCAGGGCAAGTTATGGCCTCTCCCTGGCTTCCTCAGCCTCCTCTGTCAACAGCGGTATCAGTGCTGACCTCATGGCTGCAGGGAGGATTAAAGCTGATGGCCGTCAGGCCTGCAAGGCCTGCAGATGTGAGTCACTGTTCACAAACCCCTTGGGAGGCCAACACCAAGCACCCAAAGATCCTGAAGCTGGGGGCGTGTGAGTGGGTTCCCGCCCAGTCCCTACTCTGCGCTGAAGGCCCCACTCCCTCTGCTGGAGGAGGGGACAGACATGGGGACCAGGCTGCCTGCCCTTTTGTCTGCCTGGCTCCCTGGGTGTTCGGGAAGGGGGGGGTCCCATTGTGCTCCAAGATGCTTGGTCCTCTCCATAGCAACCTGCGGGCCTCTGAGGCTGCGTGGCTGGGATGGTGGGGCCCAGCTCAGGGCTGGCAGGGTAGGCAGCACAGAACCCACCTCCTCTGGGAATTAGTTTTCCAGTGACACAGTCCCCAGTCCCCTCTCTTCATGGTCGGGCCTTGGGTAATGGCATGCAGAAACCGTCCTGCCAGGGGTGATCCCACTCCAGCTTTGGGGGATCCGCGGGGATGGGGTAGATCCCCGTGCAAAAAAATACTTAAGGGAAAAGGTGGGCCCCAAGGGTCAGTGTATCTTCCCCTCTACACTCTGACCTACTTCGTGTCCACACTGTCATGTGTGCAGGGGATGCATGGTGTAAATGACAACACAGCAGCACACATGCCAGTGTGTGCCATGTACATGGGTGTGCATGTGCCAGTGGTGCCTGCTCATGTGGCAGTGTGTGCCCAATGCATGCCACACAGGAGTGCAGGGTGTGCACTCGTGTACCTTTGGGACAGGCAGGCTGACCCCAGAGTGGGATTTCACGTCCTTTGTATGCAGAGAGCAGCCCCCAGAGTCACCCAGGGGACCCACCTCCTAAGCCCCCGTCCTTTCCTGAGTCTTGGTTTCCTTCCCTACAAAATGGGGTCCTCACCCTCCCTGGTGGCCCCAAAGAGAAGAGCAGGAGAGAAAGTTCTGAGCACGCAGCCCCCATAGGAGTCACAGGGCCCTCTACAGGGCTTGGGTCGGGAGGTGGCCTCCTGACTACACAGAATGGAGGCCAGGTCCAGCTGGAGGTGGCAGGGAGCAGAGACTTCCCAGGCCTGAGGGGCAGCTACAGTGCCCAAGACAAAGCACCCCCAGGCTCCCAGGAGGAATTCCAGGCCCCATGCCTGTGTGTGACCACTTGGACAAAAGCAAAAAGCCTTGCTCGTCAGGGACCTGGCTTCAGGGGACTGTTCCAGCTGGGTCTGGGACTGCTAGGCCGAGGCATAGGGGTCACATGTGTGTTCTCAGCACCCCCCCCCAACACTGGAGACCCAGAGCATCTCCACCTTCCCCAGCCAACAGGCACAGGTAGGGAAACCACACCAGTGGGGGGCAGGCTCTGGCTTCCTGAGGCCTCTTTCCTGGCACTGAGCTGGGGTCCCCTGGCCCCTCCAGGACCCACTGTTTCCAGCAGAAACCCAATTGTTCAGCTCTCTGGACAACGTACGTTCCTCAACAGCACTGAACACGGCTCACCACACCCACTCATCTCAGCCCGGCTCCCAGATCATCCACCCCATAACTTTTACACCTCACTGGTGCCCCAACTCAGTGGATCCAGGTAAGGCCAGTATCCCAGCAACTCCCCAGACTCCAGCCCTCACCCCAGAGTGCCCCAGCCCCAACACTCATGCGAGGAGGGATCAGAGTGGCCCCACATGAGCTGAGACACACACACACCCGGCACCCAAAGCAGGTCACATGCAGCACCCCACCACCCTCAGCAGGCTTCACCCCAAGCCCCAGGCGCGGAGCCCTATATAAGTTCAGAGGCCCTCAGCCCCGCACTCAGCAACTCACTCCTGATACCATGCAGGCCGGGGGTCCTGGGGACAGACCCCATCCCCCAGACCCCACTCACCAGCCACCAAGGTGAGAGCGGGAGACCAGGACAGCAGCAGCAGCAGCAGCAGCCCTAACAGGACAGCACACAGGGGCCTGGAATCCTGGGTCACAGGCCTAGTCAGTGCCATGGCAGCCCCACTCTGCCCGCGCTGTGGGATCAGGCGGCCCAGCCGGCTCTGCACCCCCCTCATCCCTCCAACCAGCACTAATGCTGTGGACAGAGGCCCGGCCCCGCCCCCGCCCGCCTCCCCTCCCCCTCCCGCACAGACTCCAGGGGAGGGGTCTGACCCTCATTCCCTAGGCTGCAGCCTGAGTCCCCAGCCCCTCCCCCACCTCCTTGGGGACAGTTCTGTCGGGAGGGGCTGGCCAAGGTTGTCCTGCCAGGTGATGTCACTGCTGCAAGCCTCCAGGGACCCTATCCTTCCGTGCTCCCCCCTGCGGGATCCCCTAGAGTCAGACCTGCCTTCCAGAGGCTTCCACATCTGTGGGGGCTCCTGGCACGCAGCTCGCCCCCTATTCTGCCCTCTCCCTTCCCAGAGGGCACCCCTTCCACAGTCACCACCCCAGCTCCTGGCCCGCCTTCTCCCCCCACCAGCCCATTCCTGGCACGCGCAGCCTCCCTGTCGCCGCCCTCCAGATCCAACCGAGGCACATGGCCCGCGCACCTCATCCCCCTGCCCTCGGCAGACGGAGCCCTTTCTGCCTCTCCATTTGGCCTTGATGTCGCCCCTGCTGCTGGCAACTTCAGAGACTTCATTCAGGCGCCCGGAGCCCTGAGAGCCGCCAGCCCTGTCCAGCCGCGGTCCCGGGCGCGCCGGGCCGGGAGAGGAGCGGCCCTGGGTGCGGAGGAGGAGCCCTTCGGGAGGGCCGCGCCGGCAGGCAGGCGGTCTAGGTGGGCTCAGGGACACAACACAGAGCAGCAGCGCCCTGCCTCCGCCGCCCCTGCTGGGGCGTCCCCTTGATGAAGGGACTTTCCTGAACCCAGCCACTGTCCCCTGCCAAACCATGCCTGTCTGCCCAGCTCAGCGATCATGAGCTCGGCCCACGCAGGCCCCCGGCTCTGCGCTCGGTGTGGACAGGCACCTGCCGGGTGGGGTCCCGGCGCCCACGCGCGTGAGTGAGGTTGCATGGGGCAGTGCGTGTCCGTGGCCGCTGGTCACGCCGAGTCACCGGCTCAGAGGGCCGAAGCCTTGGGGGTCACCGCCGCCCTCAAGCCTTATTTTTTGCTAGGGGTCGCCCCTTGGTTTCGGGGACCCCCTATCCCCCTTTAATCACCCCCGTTCGCTTACGCAGGAGCCCCCTCGTGGAAGCACCTCTCCACGGGAAAAGCACAGACTTAGCGGTGCGACTTCACCACACGCTTCTCTGGGCCTCAGTTTCCTCATCTGTAACCTGGGAGTCACAACAGGTCCCTCCCCAAGACGCTTTAGTGAGCTGCGAGTAAGTCCGCGGGTCTGGGCTTCTCGGATTCCCAAGAGCCCGGGGACAGCCGCGGGGAAGCGGAAGGAGCGCGGGCCACAGCCCCGGGTCCGAGAGCGAGCGCGGACAGGGACACCTGCGCTGGCCGGCAGCCCGCGCGCCACCTGGCGGCCGCAGCTGAGACTGTCCCGAGGGATCAGCTGCTGCTGAGCACCGGATTTGGGGTCCTCTCCCGGGTGGGCATATGGTTCCGGATGGTGGATCTGCAGGGTAGCAGAGGCTGGGGCTCTGCGTGGTTCTGCTGCGGGCCCAGGCAGGTTCTCTGGGACTCTGTTTCCTCTCCACATCCTTAGAGCCTGGGCGTATTGGGAGAAGCCGGCGGCAGTGTCAGGGACACGGGCGCGCGGGGGGAGGGAGGGGCACTTCGGAGATCGCCCTCGGGGACCCTGGAGACCCTTGCAGCAGGGCCCTGATTCTGCCTCAGGGTCCTGTATCCCCTCCTCAGCGCCTTACAGCTTATTGTTTGTCCCCGTGCCCCCCAGAACCCCAGGATGCCCCTCAGCCCTGACCTCGCCAGACCCCTCCGGCCTTCACCGCCAGCCACTCCCCGTTCTGCCCCCCATGCCGTGGGGCTTCCCAGACCTTGCTCCCTAGCTTCCCTCCTGCCTTCCTGGTGATCACTCTCACCAAACGTTGGGGTGTCCCCTGCAGAGCACATCCAAGCCCCAAGCCCGGGCCACCTGGCTCTCATAAGCTCTCCACCGGTGGCTCTTAACCCTGGCTTTGTTTCCTCTGAAGACAGAGATACTTCAGGGTTGTTCGTTTGGTGGGTTTTGCTTTTCTGAGACAGGGTCTCATAACTGAGCCCAGGCTGGCCTAGAACTCACGATGATCCTCCTGCCTCAGCCTCCAGAGCGCTGGACTGCAACTCCTACCACCCTGCAATGCAACAAGACATACACAGACAATGGGGACCTGGGTACAGCTCAGTGACAAGGGCCTGCCTGGCAAGGGCACAAAGTCCTGCGTTTGATTCCCGGTACCAAAAACAAAAGGTAATCAGCCTCACTGGGAGCCGTGGCCCACACCTGTAACCCCAGCTATTCAGGAGGCTAAGCCAGGACGGCAAGTTCAAGGCCAACCTGGGCAACTTACTTAAATCCTGGTTCAAAAATAAGATAAGGGGCTGGGAATATAGCTCAGTGGCACAAGCACCTGACTGGCAAGGCCAGTCCCCCCGCCAAAGAAATAAAATAAAAAACTAAAACCTAAGAGGGCTGCAGATATAGCTCAAGGGTGGGGCACTTGCCCAGTATGTGCAAGACGCTGGTTCAGTCCCTCATACTGCAAAGGAAAGAAAATGGTCACAATGACAAGCTGAGGTTTGGGGGGGTCACAGCAGGCCAGCGGCACTGGATGTGGGTGCTAGTGCAGATCCCAAGTTCTCCACTTTCCGGCAGTGTGGCCTTGGGTGAATCACTGAACCTCTCTGGGCTTTCAACCTCAAGTAAAAAGAGGGACAACAGCACCGCTTTCCCTGTGACACTCTTCTGAGAGTTAAACGAGCTAATTATTCACAAAGCATTTGGAACGGGCTCTGGAACTTTTTGTTGTCACTACTGTTTTCAGTTTTTTTCTTCTTCGTCATCTTCTTCTTCTTCATCTTCCTCTTCCTCTGGCACATGTTAGAAATCAAATGAGTGTTGATTAATAAACAAGAGCCAGGCATGATGGTGCACAGGAGGCTGAGTTCCAGGCCAGCCTGCCCCACATAATGAGACCCTGTCTAAAAAAAATTAAAAATAAATGAAGAGCAATTTAAGATGTTACGTATTGTAAATTTAAATACAGGTACTGGCTATGCTGGAGCACATAGTAAATAAAGAACAAGACGTCCGTGCCTGTGAACAGAATCCTCTAGGGTGACATCCCCATCGCAGGGTGGCTCAGGGAGCATCCTGGCGGCAGCTCAGATTCCGAGGGCACTGGCAGCAAATGCGGGATTTTCCAAAACAGCACAGGCCACGTGGTTCTGAGCACAGCACAGTCTTCCTCAGTGAGCACCGCCAGGCCAGCTTGCTCTCTATACACGAGGTCTCTCCCCTCCCTCAGTGCCCAGCAGAAAAGTCCACAGTCACGAGGCACATGGACAGTTCTCCAGGGTGTGCACTGTCCCACGCATCACAAGGCATCCAGTACTCAGGCCTCATTCACTAACTCCCAGGGTGCCCCTTTTCTCTGCAGTCTTCACAAAAACGCCCTACCACCAGGCATGGTGAGACAGAAAGGCTGAGGCAGGAGGATTGCTGTCCACTCCCCGCTTGGCCCCATGGCCTCTCCCACATGGGACTCCGCCTCTGCTTCCAGGCTTGCTGTCCCCCACCAACTGTCAGATGTTGGGGCTGTTTGAGGCTCCTCCCCGAGTGCCTGTCCCCCAAGGCCTGAAGACCTCCCCAGGGAAGAGTTCTCTGGCCCACTCCCCACCCCCAGGCTTGGTTGGAGCCTCTCTGGGGTGCTCACTGACCCCAGTTCTAGTCACCAGTAGAGATGTCAGTTAAGGCTCAGATGAAAACCCCTCACCTCCTGTGCTCACATTTAGTAGAAGAGACAGACAGACAGACAATGCAAGATGGTGCTAGCTCAGAGCCAAGGAAGCCCACAGACAGAGAATGAGAGGCTAGAGTACAGAAGTGGTAAGGTTCTGGAGTATGAATAGGAGTTTTCCAGGTGGAGAAGAGGCAGAAGGAGTTACTGGATGAACACCAGCATGACTGAGGTCAGGGGCGACAGAGGGCTGCAGGAAAGCAGGGTTGCCCAAGGATAGTGATTAAAATGAGGCTGGCGGGACAGTTGGTCAGAGCTTGGAAGGTGCCCAGAAGGTTGGACTTATCTGAAGGGCCTGGGAAGGGCAAGGAAGACACAATAATTCCGGGAAAAGTCTGTTTTTATGACAGCGAGGGGTCGAGTGGGTGTTTGAACAGCAAGAGTGACAGATCGGGGCTGGGGATTTAGCTCAGCGGCATAAGCGCCTGCCTTGGAAGCAGGCAGTCGTGAGTTCGATCCCTGGCATCGATAAAAACGAAAAAGACAAAAAGTGACAGATCGGAGCAGCTCAGAGGACACCCCCATTCCCAGCTTAGTCACCCCACAATGAAGAGTGTGAAGGCAGGGCTAGGAGGTGACCAAAGGGTGACAGGGACAAACCCCGTCCACCGGTAGCCAAAGGACAGGTTGCAGGTCCCCCTGGGGACACTAGAGGGAGCTCCAGGATAGGCCCAGCGCCGGGTCCACAGCCACGGCGCGCCCCCTTGCTGGAGTCGGAGGACAGCCTGCACCCTGCAGCTCCGACCACACTGGGGTCACCACGCTGCCAGACGAGGCCAATATCCCAGCCAGAGCTGCTGCGCCTGCGGGAGGCGCCAGCCAGGGCGCCCGAGTCAGGTGACCCGGAGCTCCGGGACTGGGCGGTGGAGCGGCCCTTCCGGAGCTCGCTGGGACCCTGGCGGGGGGCGGCTTTCCCGTGAGCCAACCCCGGGTGTGCTGGGCTCCAGCCCGGCTCAGTCCTGCCCGGGACCCGGGTTCCGGCGCGGGGGTGGCTGGAGCCAGGTCCCGGTGGAGAGCCCTGGCCTGGCCGGGGCTGCGGGCCGGGGCTTCCCGGCGCAGGAGCTGGAGCCGGGCAGGGGCTGAGTGCAGTCGCGCTTGCGTTCGTTCATTCATTCATTCACGCGTTGGTTCCTTCATTCACTCCCCAAGCTGGCCCCGCGGGAGGTGCCAGGGTCCCCAGGGACCCAGCGCCCACACTTCTCAGAGCTCGGTCGATGGCGAGGCGGACACCAACTCAAAACTTCCTGCGCTAGCGGAGCGCCCGAGGGGCAGGCGAGGAGGAGTTGGGGCGAACTGGGACGGGGGCCTGCGTGTCTGCGCCCGGAGAGCAGCCAGGAGGCCCAGAGGCGCCTGGGAAAGGGGGCGACCGGGGTCCAGGTGACCACAGAGCAGGGTGCGCCCCAGGCCGCTTCCGGCTGCGTCCGCCCTGCTCCCTGGAGAGCAGGTGAGGAGGAACAACTTTTCCGAACAGTGATGGGCGGCTCTGCCTGGGCCTAACTGGCACTGTCGTTTAAAATTTTATGAAAAAAAAAACAACGAATAACCGATGCAGACAGTGAAACAAGAAGCCCTTTCCTGAAATCTAATGCAAAAAGCAAACCCAAGCCCGAAATAACGCTCACAGGGTTTTAACTACCTGGAATGACCCGCACCGTGGGCTCAGCTGCCACCCTAGAGGCTGCCACCACCTGTGAACTGAGCGCCCCAAGACTAACTCTCAGTGAGCCAGCAGAGCCCCTGTCGCCTGGGCAAGGAAACTCTTTCGTAGGACCAGCACTCTCAGGGATCAGAGCCAATCAAAGGACAGCATGGGGCCGGTCTCCACCAGATGCTACCCCATCCCTGTCACCAACAGATCCCTGACCCCAGGCAGAGAAGCGCGCTCCTGCCCCCGCCAAGCTCGGTCCTTGTCCCAGGCTGAGGCCTGACATCATCCCAAGGTGAGTGTAGATGCTCACTGACCCGGATGCTGGTCCAAGCCCGAGCCCTGATCCAGGTCAATCTGGGGAGGAGAGGAAATGCCTGAGTCACATCTTAGGCAGCTGCATGCGTCCTCAACACAGGAGTGCGGAGAAGTGCTCAGCCCTGGAGCTGGAGACTTGGACTTGGCCTCCCCAGGCTTCTCTCTTCTCCTCTGCAGCATGAATGCAATAATACTGGGCATCACATGAGTCCTATGGGACCCTGTAGGTAAAGCTCCTCATCCAGGGCCTGCCACAAAGTACATGCTCGATCAACTAGTTCCTATTACTATTTATAAGCATTTATGTATTCATTCAACAAACATCGAACATTTACTATGAGCCACACATAATGTGCGGCGCTCTCCAAGTTCTCTCAGTCCTTCTAACAGCTCCATCATTATCTCTACTTCACAACCAAGGAAACTGAGGCACAGAGCGGTCCACTCATTCTGAGGCCAGCGAGGTCCCTTGGCTGGCAGGAGGCAGAGCTGGAATAGAAACCCAAGTCTGTCCGCCTCTAAACCCAGCCATGAGACTAGCTTCTCTTTTAGAGTTTAAAGCCCTCCTCCCTTCTCCTCAGCAGCAGCCCCTGTTAAATAAATCATCCAGTGAGGTTTCTAATTCCCAGACTTGGTTGCAAATGAATTATTCACTTCGGAAGGCCTGCAAACCCCAGGCTGGGCCTCATTACCCAAGAAGGCCACCCGCCCACAAGATGTCACTCTGTCCCCTGGCATGGGTCCTGGCGGCTGGCACAAGCGGCCTAGCACCTGAGGCCTGCTCCCAAACCAGAGGGACTTCTCCCCGTCTCTCAGCCTTTGCTTTTTTTTTTTTTTTTTTTTTTTTTTTTTTTTTTTTGTCTTTTTCCTTTTTATTGGTACCGGGGATTGAACTCATGACTGCCTGCTTGCAAGGCAGGTGCTTATGCCACTGAGCTAAATCTCCAGCCCCCCACCCTTTCTTTTTTTTTGTTTTTGTCTTTTTTGTTTTTATCGGTACCAGGGATCGAACTCACTACTGCCTGCTTGCAAGGGAGGCGCTTATGCCGCTGAGCTAAATCCCCAGCCCTAGCCTTTGCTTTCTAATAAGTGCATTGTCTGTCTGGTGGTGTAGACAGGAGGTAGAGACTCCAGGCCCAGCCAGTCCTGGGTCCCACTTGCAGCTCTGAGCAGCTGTGTGACCTCAGGCAGGTAGCAGGTCTCTCCGAGCCTCTGAGGAAGGCCATGTGGCAGCCTGGTGCACTTTCTCTCCTGTTTGTGGTCTGGGGCTGTGCTAGATGCTGGGGACTCAGTCTCTCCTGTGGGGGTAAACAGTGTCCCCAATTCTGACTGGACAGACTGATCCCTGATGCAGATCGGATTAAGCCAGGAATCCCAGGGAAAGCAGGGGTCCATTGGAAACAGGACAGAGGCTGCAAGTGGGGGGCAGCGGGGGTGGAGCCTGGCTCAGGTGGGAGCAGGAGCAGGCAAACTGCCCATTGGGGCAGGAAGTCAGTCCTGGAACCCAAGTTCCTGGAGAGATTTTTTTTTTTTTTTCTTTTTTCCCAAAAGCAGCAAGACAGGTTCCTCTGGATGGAAAAGCCACAATCTGAACCCAGAATGGGAAGAAGACGCATTGTGGTTACCCCTTTCCCAAGCAGAGAGTTGTGGGGGCCTGCCGGGGCCACTGCCCCTCCAGATAGCCCCTTGGATTCTTTCACCCGCTTTGCAGGTGAGGAAACTGAGGCTCGAGTAAACAGGGCACGGTCAGCTCTGGAGCCCTGGGCCTCTCGGCTGTCTGCAGACCTAGGCTCAGGCAGGGGCCGTCTCCTGAAGAGGCCCCTGTGTAGGACTACCAGCCCCCGTCCCCTAAACAAGCTGTCAGCCAAGCTCCTGAGCCCATCAGGGGCCGCAGGGGCGTCAGGAAGGCTGGTCAGGAAGGCTGGACGTGTGGCCCCTAAGTTTGTGGAATGCCACTGGAGGCGGCCTCTGCAGCCTCCACAGTGCCCTGGGCCTCTGGGTCCCTGTCACTTGGTCCTCATGCTTTCCCTGCAAGCAGGCACAGGTGAGGAAACTGAGGCCCAGAAAGGGGATCCCGATCCCAGCTCACAGAGCTGAGGCTTGTCCCAGAATTCTTGACACTTGGTCTCCCACCACATGTTCCTATTTATGGAAGAATGAAGGTCATTTTCCTCACCTTATCCACACTGCTGATTCCTCTCTCCTCTCCCTCCCACAATCCATCCGTCCAACCATTCATCCACCCAGTCACCCAA